TGTAGAAGTTGGCACTGTATAAGAATAAACATCAGATACCTTACGAGTGGATACATCAAGAAGGAAAGCACGAGTACTTTCTTTCCAAATTAAAAACTAATGCTTTAGTCTTAATGGCTGACTGAATGAAATATGATCATCAAAATATAAATGCTCTTCCTCAGTTTGTTAGTTTTAATGTCAAAGTGTCTGGCTATGGACTGGACAATCAGTGTTCGGTTCCTGACAGAGACAGTGATTTCTACTCCAAAGTGTCTGGCTGTGGACTGGACAATCAGTGTTCAGTTCCTGACAGAGACAGTGATTTCTACTTTTATCATCATGTTCAGACTGGCTATGGGATACAAAAGTTTCCTAGCCAATGCATATCAGGGGTTTTGTATTGTAAGTAGAGAATGAATCCATAGCTGGTTCCTTCTACTTCCCGACCTAATGATGCCGATGCCATTCCAAAGAATCCATCTGATTAAAACACTTTTGAAACAGTTTCATAACAGAGAACATTTTATGGAGAAAAGTTACAGCCACACATTGAATGCCCAAGCTTGTACCGTAATGGCTGTCCATATGTGCTTATTCAATGTATATAGTATTTCCAGCTACATTTCTTATCTGCAGCCAACCTACTCTCTCTGCACAATCCAAAGACATACAATTTGGTGTTGTAACAAGGGACCCACTGAACATGATCTGTCATCTTAATGCAGAGCTAAAATGACAAACTGAGGAATAAGATATAATGTTTACATACATTTCATCTTTCAATCTTGTGCACCAATCATGAGTCACAGCTGCCAGATGCATGTCATGCTGTACTGGCAGCCCTCATTCCACAAAGCAACATTTAAATTAACAGGTTCTGATTGTATATTCTTATTAAACAACAGTATCAGAGTTGCTCTTCGGTCTGAAACTGATATTTACAACATCTTAATACTATTCGTAAGACTCGACATAAGCCATCTGTTTGTTGCTGCATCATTTGGAAATGACCAACAGATGTTTTGAGTTATAATAAGAGAACACTATGATTCAACCAACATTTAAAATAGACTGTGTTTTCTTATGCGGCTTCACTCTCAATGGTGCCATCTGCACACAGCCATACTTCTGTGTTCCTACTGTGTCCGCCAGTCCTGAGTTCAATTCTGGACAGGGTGCCCGAGATGGACGAAAACTGGACTTTTGGCATTATTTCCAGTTTGTACGCTAAGAGAGGCACTCAATATAGGTTTATATTGCATTATGCCTTTCTTAATAAAAGTTTAAGATTAGAACTGTGTTGGTAGTTCTTTACACATGTGGAGAGTGTTCTATCTGTTGGCAACTGGATGTCAGAAGGCAGGAACAAGCTTTGGCCTGAGAGACCCCTTGGTGTGTGTTTGTAATAACAGAGATTAAGACTTCCAGATGTCATTTTCCACCCCTTATGTGTGTTGGCTTGGGTTGACACTTCATCTACATGGTTTGAAGGGTGCAGGTACGTTTCATTGCCAGTCTCATTTCTAAATTATTTGTCCAAGAATTAGGCACCAGAAGCTTTAACATCACAATTAATGAGAACAAGGTGAAACTCAGCGACCGCTGCATTCAAACATTAATTGAAATAAACTTCATCTAAATATTGTCTTAAAATATTTGTGTGATTATTTTATTCAAACTGTGTGCCGCTAGTGGTGTAGCCACGCATATTCCGTGAGAGAAGGACTCATCTCACTGAGTTACCATAAACCTGAGAACCCAAATTACTACACCTCAGCTGGGCGGTTATACTACAATGCAATGTGATGTAATTAGATTTCTTTTATATGATGGTAGTGAAAGTTTGTCACTATTTACTTGTCTGCATTAGTTTCAGATTTCCTTAAAAGATGATGATTATGGTGGTGATGATGACGATGATAATAATAACAAAATTCCTTTTTTAGAGCATCATTTCCCTGTTTACTAAACTTAAACTTTATCAACTGCATGTCACTGCTTACTTGGGAGACAGCTGCCTGTGCTTGGTCACATGTTCCTGTAGCATACCACCAAACCAGAAAGACATGTAGTGAAAGTCTGGCCAGGAGCTCATTAATTTGAGTGTTTAAATCTCCTGCACCAGTATGACAAAGGTTAACAGCTCTCTCTGGTTGTATAATTTTCTCACACGGTCAGTTCAATATACTAAAAACAGTTTTAGTTTTTCTGTAGTGATAAGATAGGGTGGCTAATACATCCTTTGAAAGTGTTACAAAGTTCAAATATTTGGGAACAACAATAACAAATCAAAATGATACTTGTGAGGAAGTTAGGAGGAGTCTAAATTCCAGAAATGCTTGCTACTTCTCAGTTCAAAATATTTTGTCTTCCCATCTGATTTCTAAGAACCTGAAGATTAAAATATACAAAACAATAAATTTGCCTGTTGTTTTGTATGGGTGCGAAACATGGTCTCTCACTCAGAGGGAGGAACACAGATTGCGAGTGTTTGAGAATAGGGCATTGAGGAGGATATTTGGACCTAGGAGAGAAGACAATGGGGCATGGAGAAAACTTCATAATGATGAGCTTAAAAATCTGTACTCCTCCCCCAATATTGTCAGGGTGATTAAGTCGAGAAGAATGAGATGGGCGGGGCATGTAGCGCGCATGGATGGGACAAGAGGTGTGCACCGGGTGTTGGTTGGGAAGCCTGAGGGGAAGAGACCGCTGGGGAGACCTAGACGCAGATGGGAGGATAATGTCAGGCGGGATCTATGGGAGAGAGGAGTTGAAGGAGACTGGATTTTGTTGGCCCAGAACAGGGTCCGGTGGAGGACTTTGGTTAATTCGGTGATGAACCTTCGGGTTCGGTAAGCCATCTAGTTAGTTAGTTAGTTAGTTGATAAGATAGTTAGATTTGTGTGTTACTCATGCCAGTTTCGTATTGTTAGCAGGGGCCACAGAGCTCCAACTGCATCATGTTTACCTGGCCCTAAACAGAAGGGACAAGGCTCCTAAAATAAATTGTACAGGTGAGTTACGTATTTTAATTTCTTCATGCAAGAGTAAAACTACCGCGTCAGATTAATAGTGAGATGTTTTAAGTGTAGATTCATACTAGTCAAAAAATTACCTTGTGGTCTGTACTGTATGACAGTGCAATACCGTTGCCATCTCAGCAATTTACAGTCAAGTCTATTCTTAATGTTGGACAGGCCATAACAGTAAAGAGAAATAAAGAAATTGGGTTGTAGCAATTATAAAAAATATATTAAGGTAATAATTTGGACTTACAATTTACATTTAATTTATGCAATCTGTTGGTCAATCTTTTAATATTTTCTTTTCAACCATACTATATTTTTGCTTTTCCCTCGGTCAGAAATAAAATTTCACACCCATATAAAACATTTGACAATTATATTCCTATATACTGTATTTATAATTTTGACATTTATAAAAACAAGACAGAATAACAACAAATTCTGAATTGAAATAAATTTTCGAAATGCAATACCTGAGGTAATAAATTTGTTCAACTTTGATAAAACTTTTGTCTGAATTTGCTAATTATTAAGATATCACAGACAAAGTTTATGTAACCTTCATTGACCATGCATGGCAGGCCATCCATTGCACTAGCACACTGCTAAACTGTAAACCCCTGAGTCAAAGTATGACAATCCCATAATGCAGGGGTTTAAATCCACTTTTCTGGAAAGAAAAAGGTTAAGAAAGAATAATTATCAGAATGGCAGTAGAAGTTTACACAGTGATTCAAAATACTTTCCAAGTTGAATAAAACTAAACTTTCAACGATGCTTACAGAATATCAGTATCATAAAATTTCTAATTATCCTCCATGCCATAATATCTAAATACGAACTTTAAATTAGTACTTAAACTGGAGAATACTTACACACTTTGTACGTTTTAATAGTGCACACTGATGAGAAACTTTAAGGTGTATTTATATGCATAAATACAAGAAAGTAAATCTCCTAAAATTATGTGTTATCAATAGCAGATACAACATGAAACTCAATCATGTTCTGTTAATATAACCTGCAGTATGTAAGACAAAATAATGGCATTCAGTCTTTAGTGGGACAGTCTCCCATCGTGCTTCATTAATGAGCAGACCTGTTAAACGCCACATACGATTTTTAAAATTTCATGAATATAATCAATCATATCGAAAGGCAACCCTAATATATGTAGCAGAACTAGAGCTTTGTGGACTACTTCAAAGTAAAATTAGATTAGGAGCAAGAGAGACAGACTGCAACTATGAAAGCAGCAATGAATAAAAACAAGTTACTTTAGGACACATCACATTTTTGGGGGAAAATAAAAATTACACATTTACATAATTTTCAAAAGAATGAATAACAGACATCTGAATGCAATGATCTTTGAGGAAAATATATCATTCTATGTACTCATAAGCCTTTCAGTGTGGAGAGATGCTATACACAGCCTTCCTAGTTGATCATCTGATGCAGAGAGACATGTTCTACATACCCAATGAGCTCTTGCTTCATATTACTGATATACGACTAATTTCATAAGCACATTAACAAACCTTATACCAATGAACATGGCTGTCGTGTGGGTTGTTGCGCCGTGTAGTCTGGTAGAAGTTTACCGACGTTTCAGAGGTCCTCGCCGCCTCCATCATCAGGGCAATCACCCTGATGATGGAGGCAGCAAAGACCTCTGAAACGTCAGTAAACTTCTACTAGACTACACGGTGCAACAACCCAGATGACGGCCATCTTCAGACTCACCACCGTGAAAACCCCAAATCCTACTTCCAAGTTATCAGTTTAACTTTTGTTCTGTTTCTAATGTCCTTCAAATTTGTTAAACACATTTTATTAACTTTCTGATGCCATACATAAACATTGCTCCTCCTGCAACAGGTAAATCCAGCGTGTCTTTTCACATTGGCTACAGCCATCTGAATGAATTGAGCCTAGTAACTACTGATCACAAAGCTGGGAGCAATGGTGGAAGAAAATGCAGTCTAGCATAGGTACTGAATAAGATCTGTCCACATTTTAAATTCTGATCGTAAGCACTGAATTTACAGGGATTTTAAAGTAGCTGTCAAAGGAGATATAATTACACTATTCAAACACGATGTATGATATTCTGAGACACCAGATGAAGCCTCTTCCTAAGACATCAATAATATAATGGATTTTCATTTCTATGGCCTTCAAATAAAAGAATTATTTCTATAAATTTATACTACAAGTTTCTAATTAAATAAAATCCATGCATATGGCCACTGCCCTCTCCTGATTATTTGTTGATCAAACAGTACACAGGGCATTTAGAGAATTCGGTCTGGTGTGCCCCAGTACACCATCCTGCTGTAAATACAAATAAATCTTTTCTTCTTCAATTAAATGTTCATAGAAGAGCTCCAAAATATTGATTTTGAGTGTTTCAAGAGTTTCTGCGTGTGCTTTGGATGATGACAGTTTTTATCAGCAATGGACCACATTTCACACTATTCTGTACCATCACTAGAGTGTATTTCCTTCCTGCAAGATTACCTATGCAGTGGTGGTCATTTCCCAAGCCACAGTAACAATAAGAAGGCTGTATCCTATGTGATGAGATGTACTGTATATGCAGCAAAAGAAATTCCACACTGAAGATTTAATAGACTTCATCCTAAAATAACCAGGCTTCGGGGAACAATTTTCAAGCAACACTAAAAGGAAGCAATAAAGACACATATTTCACAAACCAGAGGGAGTTTCTCCTCCGACGGAACATCGTTGAAATCTACTAGAGTATGCACCTTTGTAGCCAAGGATAATAAAATAAAAAAAAAAGAGAGAGGAAAGAGAAAATGCCGAGTGTAAGAACTGTGTATCATAGAACAGATTTCAATAATTAGTCACACAGACATAAATATGCATTTTATATTTACATGTGTTGGAATCGAACAGAGAAGGAACTATTTTGGATATGTGCTGGAGATGCTTTGGTTATTTTTTTAAATTGACCTCATCCAAAACACAGATGACTATTATAATTATACCACTTTTGTATATCATCTTATTGCATTAATCTTAATATAGTAATCAACTGCGAACATGCAGCTAAAACCTGATGACGGAGAATTTAAATTCCCTGTGTCCAAAGCGGCATGAATACCTAGTAAGTAATAAGGTCAAGGGGCAGGGGCTTCGCTGTGCCCACAAACAGCATTAGTAGCATACGGCAGATTAACTGAGTTCAAGAGGAGCACAGATGTGGCTATTTTTTATATGTTACTATCAATATATCATGTCATGCTGAACATTAAGATTTTTTTCCATTATGCTGATTTGAACGAAAATAACATTCCTATCATTATAAAGCATCATATTCAAAACCAATGAAAAGGCACAAATGTAGCCATATATTTTCCATCATTCCTTCTGCAATTAATGTTCCTGTTATTGCATTTATATTTAATTACAACCTATTCTCCAGCACATACCTGTTACACTGAACATAGCAGATCACATTTATAAAGAATGGGTTCACTTAATTCAATGGACACTGAAGCTGAGTGTGAAAAATATAATTTAAATGCTGAACTCAATCTACTAAACTGAAATATATAAAAAAACTTACTCGACGGAGAGAGCCCTTCTTGAGAAGCTGATGGCAGTGTATAAAGTATATTTGAATTGACAAGTGTGACAGCGTCAAGCTACAGTGAATTTAGGCAGTGCAGTAAAGTATCAAATTAAAATACAACCAAAACTATTAGTCCTATGGTGAATGTAAACATTCATGAGTAATCTGGAACTTGACAAATACAGTTTTGTTTAGTACATGTGGCAAACGCTACTATATTTGGTCCTTTAGTAAAATTAATATTTCTTCCTCTTACACAAAGAACGTTGTTCAGTACTGAGATATGACAAAGGTAATAACAGTAGCAGAATCACGTAATGAACAGAATTCCTGAAATAGGAACTCCCAAAAGATGCGAGACTAGCATTTTTCTTAAATCGAAGTTTGTTAATTTGACATGTCACTTTCCTATTTTTCAAACACTAAACAGCTGAATTAAATAGAACCAGCTTCTTACATGAAACTAATTCCAAAGTACAATATCTTCCACCAGCTGATCAAGAAATTCTCTGCTCTGTAACCAAAATATTTAATGCTGGTATCACAAAAGCTCAGCACTGGACTCCTTGTTTAACGAGTTCAAATGCTTGCAACATGTATCCTAAAGATCTAATGTTTCTTTGAACTGGTCACGAAGTGCTAATGCTCAAAAACATAATGAAAAATTATTTCTTTGTATAATTCAAATTAACTGCATACTAGTTCTAAATAGACGCGTGTAAGAATGACTTTTTCGAGAATTTTTGGAAAAATTTTCAGAACTTAAATAAGAACAAGAATTTTCTCTAATAGACTGTAATCACAGTTTATAACACTAATCATTTATTTTACAATGCAATAAACTGTACTGCTTATTCATCTTAATATCAGAAACATTTCCATAAATTATTGTACTTTAAAAACATTCACTTGTAGGAGTGTGTCCTTTTTAACTACTTGTTATTAAAAAAATCTTCAATATCAATTTCACGTCCTTTCTCGAAACTTACGGCATCTAAAAATGTTATACACATGGTGGTTAATAGGAACACACAATAAGTTTCAGAAAGAGAAAGAGAGAGAATTTGTCAATAAGCTGGTTTATGATAGCTTTGCCTGCAATTACAGTCATAATGTATTGCATTATACTGTGAAAAGTTAAAGTTATACGATCAGTGTTCCAGGCTGAAAAAGTGAATTGAAAGCAACATATTTTTTTTCTCAATTCAATCTCAAAAATTCAAGACTCGCACATGCCTAGTTCTGAGCATTAACATCAAGTAAATTACCATGTAAATGTAAAATGTTAATACACTATATTAGATGTAACATATTCTTTGCTGACATACTGATAAATGGACTGAGAATTATGTGCAACCATAAAAATGACAGATCAGAACTCATACAGACTCCAGTGCTTTTAACATAAGCCTACTTTAAATGCAGCAAAGAATCTGATAGATTCTCATAACACAGAGATAACATGAAACTGTTACATTAATGATAAAGGATGAAGAAAAAAAGCTTAACACTTACAACGCCAAGGCTTTCCTTCTTGTTTAGCCGTAGTTCTCGTAGCATCTGATTACGTTGTTCCATCATTAGTGTGCGTTCATAAGTGTAGGCCGAAATATCACTATCCGTCTGAAAGAGAAGATGATCTGATTAAAACACAAAATACCAAAACATATACTGCAGTAAAGAATTATTTAAATTATATGTAGAACTTTAACTGTGTCTATTCTAAGTCTATTTATATTTCTAGAATCGTGTAAGGTTATAATGAAAGCTAAAATATTGAAGCCAAAATTAAAAGAAGAAAATTTTTTTAAGTTTATTTATTCATTTAACAATGTGTACTGCTAATGTTATATAGTTTTAAATGAGAAGTTATATAGATGGTCAATTTAAACCTGTAACATTTTGGAAAACCAATAAAGGTAGCAAGTCTCATAGATAAAGTTTATCTGGGCACCTAATGAATGTGAAGACATGATAACAAGCAGACTGCAAAATCTATTATGAGTTGGGTATTCATTATGACTGTAGAACAGATTCAGTTTATGCCTTGACTTCAATAAAATAGTAATTTTCCACAGGTATGCAACAACAGCTAATTTATTACACCTTAATTACATCTGATCCCCACTTAATGGTGCCTGCACCTTGTCATAGTGGTGGGGCTCGAGTACCTCAGTGATCCCAAGAGCTATGTTGGCGGTAGCATAGCTACTGGTAGGGCCTCCCTAGCCAGATTGGTCGAGGGGGAGAGGTCAGAATAAGACAGGTACCCTGGTCCTCCAGGTTGGGGGTTGGTCGCAAGGCTAACAACCTTGCACCGTAAAAAGGAAGATGTTTCGAAACCTCGATCAGAGCCTCGGACAGACAGACCTAACAGAGGACCGAATGGAAGAGGAGAATTGAGGAGGCCATGGACCGAACACGGACCGGAGAGCCATAGAAGAAGAATAATTACATCTGATATTAGTTACTGAGGAATACTTGACATATGTGATATTTTAGGTATTAATGGATGCAGTTCAACTTAATTATGGTTCAGTGAACTAAAACAAATGAACTGTAAAATGCTTGCTTTTACAATAACACGTAAATACTCACCATTTCTACAACCTCCACTTCGGCTTCTATCCTCAGGTGATAAAGAAACATCTTGAGATCTTTTTTCATTTGGATAGAATTGTCCTCCATTTGTGCGACTGTGAAGATGCGCATTCGACAGTTTTTCCAAGTTCGGTGTTGCTTTAACAGGAACGGCAGCAGCATGAGTAAACCCCCGTCATGCACAATCCACCAGATGTCGATGTTTCCAACCACCTATACGAATGTAAATGCCGTATTACAACACCATACTTTGTGATATAACATAATTCAAGCCTTGGTGTCTTGAAACTTGAAGGTTTTCAAAATCCTCTTTTACGCAGACAGTAACTGGAGCATTTGTCAATCAGGCCTTTAGCTTCACACAAAAATAAAAATGTAAGGCAAAACATCTATGCCCAAAACAGGATTGGAAGTGTAATTACAGTGTAGGCTAATGCACTGATTCAAAAAAGTTTTCAATTTATGGAGCAGAAGGACATCTGTGGAAAAATATGAAAAATTTATTCTGTCGTCACTTGAACTAGGAACACTATTACTAACAAAACATATCATGTCATGCTATATTACGGTGCGCACATCTCAACAAATTATTTAATTGAAGAACACCTTGGTCCAGATCGTGAACACCAGTGTTCCATGGGAGCACAGTTTGTGAACCAGTTATACGATCTGACTGACTATATCAGAATCATTTAGTTGGTCAAGAAATTTCTTATCTGTTATGTAACCTGGAAATTCAATGCTTTGCACACAACTGTATGATGGTTAGGGCTCTACACAAAACCCCCAGGCTGGATGACCATTCCTCTTCAGCTGTCTGTGACTGCCCATTCACATTCCCAGTCATTCTCCATATCTGGAGCCCATCCACTCCACACATAACCTCAGGATATGCCATACTATTTTAACAAAGGAAGTACTTAACATGGTGATGTTATATAATGCTGATGATGTTGATAATAAATTAATCAATCAATGGCAGGTCATGTTGCAGCAAGCAATTAGAAATTGTAAACCAAGAAGATCTGTACCTTTTCACTACTGTCTGGGAAGAAGTTTATGCCCTTGGGAACAAGCAGTGCCATGCGTGCAGCGGCCACATTGCGAACAGTTTGCAAGAACACCTGCCAAGTCTTCTCATCTTCTGACTGACGCCATCCATACGGCCAGCCGAGGATTACGGTATTAGGCTTCATTCCCCCCAGACCTGTCGTCTGGATTCTAAACATGTGATATATAATTATATTTTTTAATGAAGGTAAAAGCACCAGAAACCTCAAGCACAATAATAACTCATTCAGACTCTATTAAATGTGGCCCTTACACATTAATAATTTTACAATAAACACTTCTAGTTCATTGACCGAACATGATAAATGTTATCCAAATTTTTCATCAGCAATAACAATTATGCTGTATGGGTTACATCTGCATCATAAAATAAAATAAAAAAACCTTTCTACACTGACAGATCTTAAAAAGTAGCTTGCTACATCCTACATGAAATCTAAGAGGAACTTGAACCAACTGGTAGACCATTCTGTGTAATATTATACAAAATGTAGATAGCATGATAATTCACAGAATTACTTACATGTAATGAAACAGAAGAATTAATGCCTACCTACTTGTCTACGTACTAAAGTACTTCCTTACTCAAAAGATGCACAGAGTATACATACAAGTGACTTAATCCATCAGTAACGTTATATGCAACCAGGACATCTACAAATCCCTTGACCCTTTCTTCATCCATAGTACGTCGTAGACTCTGTTTAGCAGCCATTGCTTCACCAACACCTCGAGTATAGTCTCCTCTGATCACAGACACACAGACTGTAAGGCCCTTGCCTGCAAACAATTATTCTGTTATATTTCACACAATGATAATATTGTATGCCTTCCTTCTAATTTGCAAGTTTCATAACATGACTTTTACACCTGACATAAAATTAGACACATACTTAAGTAGCAAATTGTGGTCATGAACCTTGTTTATCGACAGACATGACCACCCCCTTTTATGTGTGATATACAGAGAATACACAAAGAGTTTAGTTTAATTAGTCCTACCACCTTCATCACATTATGAGGCCACTGTATGTAACGACTATTGGGATGCTACTCTGTGAACTGTGCCCAACTTACCAGCCTTCAGCTGAGCAGCAAATGCAAACAGTTTACGATACTTTGGCACCAGATCTGAAGTAAGCTTTGCAAGAATAAGAATCTGCGGACGCCAGTTCTTGGTGTGCGGAGGCCCTTCTTCCAGACGTAAGAGACTGTAGCGTGCCGCTGAGAGGGCCAGACCTCTTATTCCATCTCCCCACTCCTTCTCTGCTCTGCGCAGAAAATAAAAATGTTACCAGGAAATTTATAAATACAATTTATAATAATATTAAAAGCTTACAGATACTTCAGAAGGAGTTTGGTTGGTTGATTCCTTGGGTTGCTTGATGATGATGATGATGATGATGATTCAAGTGCAGAGATTATATATTATCTACTGGGATAGAGAAATGATTGTCAATGGTGAACAGATAAGGACTTTGAAGGAAGAAATTATGGATTTTTAAAACCACTATACGGACATTCGCCTTATGAGACTAAGTAAAATCACATCATAAGATTTCAGTCAGGATAGTTTGCATCCTGACTGATGCTTCACTTAGATATACAGAGTAAGTGTCTAGAATGTTACTGCTTTGGATCAAAGGAGTTGGAGATAAAATGATTACAGTGGTTTCGGCATATTTTAAGAATAGATACGCATGAGTCAGGATAGCTCAGTCAGTACAGTGACTAGCTATGGGCTGGATGACTGGGGTTCGATCCCTGACGGGGGCAGAGGATTTTTCCTCTAGCCTCTGCGTCCAGACCGGCTCTGGGGCCCACC